TCTAGTTGTCTTACAATACTTGCCATTAATGTCATTCCTAACTAGAAGACTAGAAATTAAGTTAGGTTGTAACTAGGATAGAGACAACTTAGTTAAGTAGGAACTAAGTAGGTTGTAAATACTAACTAGGAACTAATTACTAACTACTAAGTCGGTTCGGTTTGGGTCGATTTTGGTTTTCACATATGAAAATCGAAACCAACTGATGTAGAAGAAAACCCAGTTGATTCGGGTTGGGTTGATCCAGGTTGGTCGATTTGGCCGGGTTGGGTCTTCTTATAAACAGCCCTAATTGGAGCTTTTTTCCAAATTTATCATTTTTGTGGGCCTAGCCCTTCAGAAGTAAATACGAGTTTGGATCTGCTCTTCATAGAGCATGCCTCGTACCATCCTCACAGTGCACGGCATTTGTGCATTGGAAATATTATTCTCATTAATGATAACATCATGTACGTGAGTTGTTGTTTTTAATGCACACGTAAGATGCACTGTGAGGTTGGTGTGAGACACACTCTGTGAGGAGCAAATCCGATCTCACTAAATACTTATGTAAAGAACTTTTGGATAGTGGGGTAGTGGTTGCTTATGGGATCTTAGTGGACAAACACGCCCTTGCTAAAGGCTCATGTTGCCTGCCATGTTGGCTTGTGAAAAATGGAGCCAAAATTGATATATAGGATGGCCCTTAGATAGTTAGATCCCAAGGGCTCATTGACAATGAGCTCCAAGTTTATAAAGGCAACCCAATCTGTGGGATGACCCCAATCCACATCTTAAACACCTAATCAAACCAACCTAGTCATCTCAAAATTGAATATTAGATCTATCCATAAGTGTGAACTCCTCTAATCCACTATCAGATCTACCAAATTCCCTTTTAACGACCTTGATTGAATATTACAAGGTGCCATCTTATGATTTAGAACAAAATATGTAAAAGATAAATTCTTCACCACAATAAAATCAAGCCCAAAACCAATCCATGTCCAAAAGATCTACCAAATTCATCGTTAAACTTGCTTGGTTCTCATCCAATGGCCCAAATCAAGCATCATCCACACCCTTACCATTATTAGATCAGGCCAAATTATATGATTTAAAATCATAAAATATCCATTAACACCAAATGTCAATCATATAACTCCAAGATTTCACAACCCATCAATTAAAGATTTCACAACCCATCATAGACTCGATTAGCCAAATCAAACCATGCCACTAAACCTCTAGATACCTTGGTACACTTGCTCGCAAAATTTCATCTAACCAATACTCTATCTTATCCTTCATTAGACCAATATTTCAATATAGGCTCTTCCATTGGTTGAAACATTTAAACCC